CCTTGCTCCCTCCTGAGGCTCCGGGTGGGGTCACCCCGTTTCCTCAGCCCCAGGGGCCGGTAGCTGGTTTTGGACTTGTGTCACTATTGATACTTATTTACTGTATAAATATAATTTATCATTTGTATCATGATGCGGTCTCTGGCTGTGTACTTCGCCCTCCCCCGTTCTTTATCCATCCCGTGGCACAGGGCGGGTGGGCAGGCCGTGGAGCCCGGCCCTGCCTGGAGCCCAGTTTGGCCTGCAGTTGATGGCCGGAGAGGGACTGGAGGCGGCCTTCAGGACACTGCTGTGGTCTGCAGGCACGGAGGTGGAGGTGCTGGCCTTGTCTTTCCTCCTCGCTGGGTCTTGGGGGTGCACTCCACTGGGGACTTAAGGGCTTGCTTCATTGCCACCAGAGAGCTGCCCCTTCAGAGGCCGCCAGCCAGCCGCACATCCTCAGGGTGACTCACGGCCGCCGGCTTGGTGGCTGGTGCAGGGCCCTGTCCCCTTCCAGAACCCGTCATAGGAGGGAGCACAGCAGAGGGAGCACAGGGGCAGGTGGGGAGGGCACGGGGCAGGCCTGCGCTTCTCTTGTGAGGGCCTGGGCCCCAGCCTCTGCTCGGGTCTGCCCGCCACCCACCTTTCCGTGCTGAAACCCTGGCCGTGGACCCTCAGGGAGCAGGACTTAACAGGGCCCTGGGGCGGATTTGCAGGGCCGGCAGCAGCTGGGGATCCACTCAGGCAGGTGGGGGGGCCCGGGGGGCTCCTGGTGGGCAGCTCTCCAAGGGGTGTCTGGGGACTCCAGCAGCTTCCATCTGTGCCACTGCCCCTCCCACACACAGCAGAGCGGAGGGTGGGGGACACGACTTCCTCGTCCCCACACCAGAACTGGTCTCGCTTCGGTGCCAGGAAGGAGGAAATGCAGGATCCTTGTGCCCAGGGGGATCGGAAGTGGGTTTGGTTAGCGTGTGGCCAGTCACATGGCCCTCTAGTGTCACCAAGTACTTATTTCGCTGTTTCCCACACACCGATCGCATCCCCTCCCACGGGAGCTGTCCTTGGGCCCCGTCAGTCAGTCACCTGTAGGGCCAGGAGAGAGTGAATGCTGGGTAAGCAGCAGAGTTTGGGGTAGTTAACAGCAGCAGGTAACGAGCGCTCACAAGTCTTCCCTGGACAGCCTGCTTTCTTCCTGCTGCTCCCCCCGTGTCAGTGCGGGGCCATTGGAGCCAGGCGCCCGCGCCCTGCCCAGCCTGGGACTTGTCCAGGGCCGAGTGACCTACCGGTCAGAAGCCTCACCAGGCCGTTATAGTCAGAGCATGCTTCAGTCTTAGCCCTTCCTGTGTGAGTTCTAGAAGTTTCCTTTTCCAATCTTTTGATAACAGTTTTGGATTCTCTTAATTTCTTGTCACTTTTGCTTGCAAACTGGCCATTTTGCTGCGCACATCCCTTTGCTGTGGTAGCTTTCAAGTGGCCCCGCACCTGCCTCCTGCAGCTGCCCTGCCCGGGGGAGCACGGTGGTCTCCTCCAGCCTGTCCTGCTGTCCAGGGTTCCGTCCACGTTCTTCCTGCCCGCCCGGCCAAGACACATTGGCTGGTTTTGTTTTGGTTACAGCAGAAACTCACTCAGATACCAATTTCCATATCAGAGTACAATAGGTGCCACAGGAACCAGTAAGCCCCAGGTTCTTGCTGGCTGACTGCCATGTTTCTCCCTCACAAAATGCCCCGCGGGAATGTTCTGGCAGCTCCCTCGCCGTGTGTCATCTTCACCAGCTGGCCTCGGGGCGGTGGGAAAGGAAGGGCGAGGGCACCACTCCGGGAGGTTTCAGTGGGTCAGGTCTCTACGTGGTGAACACCCTTTCAGCCTGTAGTTTCTGAGGTGCAGGGCCGGGGAAATGCCGACTTCCCACGAGCCCAGGAGGAGAGGGGGCCTGTGACAGCCTCGTCCCTGGGGACGCAGCAACAGCAAGGGGCGGGCGCAGGGGCGACTGCCTTGGCTGTTCATGGTCTCGAGTGGGGAACCTTTCTGCCGAGGGCCACGTGGATATCTATAACATCATTCATGGGCCGTACAAATTACCAGCTTAAAAATTAGCCTGCTCTCTTTGGCCAGACATTTAATTACCCAACCCCCACTGCCCTGGCACCTTGGCAGGGCCAGACCGAATGATCTCTCGGGCCTTAGACAGCCTAGGGGCCTGGCGCTCCCACCTCTGGTGTCGCTGGTCGCGGGTCCCGGCCACTCCCCCTCCCCAGGCGGCGGGGCTCGGCGCGGGCGGGGCGCACACCGCAGCTGTATGCACTTCGCGGCGCGGAGACGGTCCCCCGGAAGGAGAGCACCGGAGGACAGACAGGCTCTCGGCGACACGCAGCTGGGTGTGCCGGGGCGGCCCACGCCCGCACCTTCCTTTGAAATGCACTGGGAACAGGACGGCTCCACGGGGGCGAGGGGCCGAGGGAACACACCGCGAAGTGGTGGTGGGAGACCGGGTGGTTGCGAAGTATTTAAACTTCTCTATGTTTAAACACTAATAATAAAACGTTGAAAAATAGAAAATTAAACCTAAGAGGGTTAACTGCTGTGCGAACGGCGCGGACAGGCTCTGGGAGAGACGGGAAGGGCCGACGGCGGGCGGGGGCCGCATGGACGGCGAGGGGCGGAGGCGGAGAGCGGCGGAGGCCCAGCGCACGTTCTTTGCGTGGCTTCCATCATAGGACACGCGTGGGGGGCAGCAGGAGTGGTGCGTGGGGGGGCAGGGGCAGGGCCTCGCACACCCCGGGGTCTCTGGCGCGAAGGCTGGTGGGTGCCAGCGGGGGGGAGGCGGGGAGCGAGCGCCCCATTTCCTCACGAGCCCGTCAGGCGAGGGCGAGGGCGAGGGCGACTGAGGGTTTGAGAGGAGGAAAGGTGTGCGCTCCCTCGGCTGCGCGGGGCTAAGGAAATAGGGGGCCGCTTGGCAGCGACGTGAGGGGGGCCTGGCTCTGGACGTGGTGCGGGCAGCCCTCGCCTGGACGCTGTGCCCAGGACAAGGTTGGCCGGGCGAGGGCAGAGCCGGGGCAGGGCGGGCTGAGGCCAGAGTGGACTGCATCTACCCGCGGGGAGCAAGGCTGAGGTCAGACCCAGCTCTGAAGAAGGTCCTGCTGAGGGGCTGGCCTGTGGGGGCGGCGGGCTCCCCCGGGCGGGCGCTGCAGGAGCTTCCAAAACGCAGCCTCTCCTCCCTCGGGTGCCAAACAGACAACACAGCACAGCCGCCCGGTGTGAACCGATAAAAACTATACCCGGTTTTTTTTGTCAGATCAGCAAAAAATATATTTTTTGGTGGCCACAGAATTTTAGTAATTAGTTCCTATGCCATGGGGTGAAAAAGGTTGAAAATCACTTCTTAGAGACACACACGTCTCCAAGACTGACACGGGCCTGGGCGAGCAGAGCCCGCCGACGGCCCTGCTTTAGGGTCTCGCCAAGCCTGGCGCTTCCGTGCTGCTGCCACTCGCAATCAGAATGGCACGTACCGCGAGACGGCCTGCAGGCGCGCTCCCCCGTAGGAGGTCATCTGTGCTTCCATAAACCACCGCCCCCGGGGTCCCCCTCCCGCTCCCCACGGCCTGGCAGTGCTGCGTCCGTCACCACGGCGACCTGCCCGTTAGTACCACCGCACCGGACGCCTGGTGACGCGTTGCTCGAGAAGGCCCTGCTGGCGTTTTGGTTGGTGGTTAATCCGCACCCGAGGATATTTTCCATGGACTTTTAGAGAGTGGAAGGATGGGGAGACGGAGAAACACCGATGTGAGAGGCATCCATAGGTTGCTTCTGCGTGTGCTCCCCCGCCAGGGCTGGGGATCCAGCCTGCAACCGAGATACGCCCCTTGACCTGAGCGGAACCTGGGACCATTCAGTCCACAGCCCGCACGTACCCACGGAAGCACACTGGCTAGGGCGGATCTTGTCATCTTTACATAAGCCTGCAGCCTTATTTGAAAGGGAGTGTGTGTGTCATCAGCTGCGCCTAATGACTGAATTCTAAGCTGGGACAGCGGGAGGAAGGAGAGGGCCGACGTAGTGCCCGCGGCGGGGTGGTGGCCGAGGGCCTGATGGAGTGGCGGGCTGGAGGGGGGCCCACAGGAAAGGGACTGCCCCCGGGGGGGGGGGGGGCGCTGGGATATACATTTTAGAGAGGATGCCGCCATTGGTCACGGGAAACGGGCTCTGACCGTGGGTGGCTATTGAGGACACAGGTCAAGTTCACTGCAAGGGGGAGGCTGAGGAAGACAAGCTGGTCAGTGGCGTTGCCATGACAGCTGGAGGAAGACAAGGCCGTGCCCTCTTCGGAGGACATCAGAGGTGAGGTCCGATGGCCCCGAGGCGGGAAGCTGAGACGGGGAGTAGGAAGTGCTCACAGGGAGCGAGGGCACAAGCCCCATTTCTCAGCCCCTGGTGCCCCATGGAGCCTGAGGGCTGAGGGCTGGCAGTGGGAGGCACTGTCCCATCAGCAAGGACGGTGGGAGCCACTGCTGACGGGCTCCAGGCGCAGCGAGTGGGGGCGGGAGGCGGAGTTACCCTCTGGTGCTGACAGCAGAGGTACGGGCAGGACAGGCCGTTCCGTGGTCTTAGAACAAGTTCCGATGCAGCGAGGGGGCCGTGGTCTTCAGGGCTGAGGAGCCTGGAGCAGGCACTGTGGCTCCCCTTAAATTCTGGGGTGCGGGCTGGGGAGCAGACTGGGCACGCCCCATCCCATCCCACTTGAAGCTGGGGGGCTCAGGTGAGGCGGTGCCGGGCAGAGCTCAGCTCAGCCCAGGGTGTTGGGTGCCGCGTGCACCTCACCCACCTCCTCCTCACAGGATGTTCTCCCTGTCGCCAAGGGAGGCTGGTGATGGGAGCATGACAGGGTGACCAGTGCTTCCTGGGGACGGCAGTGTGAGGCAGGTCCCGCCCGGCTCAGGCCCAGCGGGTGCGGTGCTGCAGGGGCGAGGAGGCAGCCCAGGCCTGGGTTCTGTGACAAAGCAACCATTTATTTTATGAAAATATCCCCCCCATCCCACCCACCCCCCAACTACACTGGAGCAGGCAGGTGGATCGGCAGTGGCCGCATGGCATTGTGGGAGCCGCTCAGGCTGCACGCTGCTTGGCCAGGCTCACTGCGGGAGGCCCTGGGGCAGGCTGGGCCCCGAGACCCCCTGCATGTCCACAGGCCCAGTGTCGTAGCCCAGCTTCCTCACGTCCTTGGTCACCACGTTGAAGAGGAGAGTCACAAAGCCCTGGGAGCGGACGCGGGTCACTGGGGACAGAGGGGGCGTCAGCCACCGGGCAGAGCCAGGCTGCTCTGGGCCTGTCTCAGTGCTGTCGCCTGGCCCAGCCACAGTGCGCCCTCGCCCCCTCGGAGAAGCGGGGTGCTCGCTGGCCGACCCACCACTGGGAAGTGGAGGGCTGTTTTGGAGCCGGGCAGAGAGGCATTCTTGTGCTCTGACCAGGCCTGTCTGGGATACACCGAGAACCCGGGCCCCGCCCCACAGCCCCCCGCATCTCCATGTTGTTCCCAGGGGTTCACCTAGTCCCTCCTGGGCTCCGACCTGTCTGCGGGGTCAGGGGTGGGATTGGGGGATCAAGCTTTACCTTCCCGGCCTTCACCCTGAGCCACCACCTTGGGGTCCGTGTACTCAGGCCTCCGTCCCATGAACCAGCTGAGAAGACAGGAAGCCAGGTGAGCCACAGGGCCGGGGCCCACAAACACTGAAGTGGGCGCCCTCCTGACTTCGGAAACCAGCAGCCTCCCCGCCACTAGGGGCAGGCCCTGGGCAGACACGCCCCACATCCCTCGGCCACCTCAGGGGCATCAGAGCTGGCTTGACTGGCCCTGACCAACACTGAGCCACAGCACCCCGCACTACCCCGCTGGGTGGGCCGCCTGCCCTGGGGGTCACAGGCCTCCCGTGTGGAAGGCGCGAGGTTCCTGCTTCCTGGAGAGGCCGTCCTCAGCCTCCTGGACAGCCGCTGGCCTGCAGGGGGCGGGGTCTGCCCAGCCCAGCCCCCCTGGCGTCCACCCGGTCCAGGCGCCAGCGCCCACTGGCTGCCAGCTCCACCGCTGGTGGCGGAGCGGCCGCCCGGTCTGCCCACAGGCTGCGTGGAAGCCCAGTGGGGGGCGCAGGGGCTCCCAGCCCCAAGGAAGGGGACGGGGGAGGCGGAGCCCAGGCTCCAGCTGGGGCTGACGGGTGAGTCACCGCTCTGTGCCTCGGTTTCTCCATCTGAGGAGTGGGGCTGTAACAGCACCCACCTCAGAGGCAGGGAAGCAGCCCCACGAGCCTGGCACGACCCATGTGGGAACGCAGAGCGAGTGCCACAGCTCCTCTGAGGACGGTGAGGGCGCTGTGGGCCGGGCGCAAAGCCGGGAAGGGCCGAGCTGGCTGGAGGGCCACGCAGGGGCCAGAGGAAGTGAGCGCTGACCGCAGGCGTGCCTCCGCAGGCTCTAAAGCTTCAGGAAACCCTTCCTTGGTGCTGCGTGAAGCGCAGGTCGGAGGTAGTCGCAGGCTGAATCATGGCCCAAGACACAGGTCCTGGTCCCTGGCCCCTGGGAATGCGGCCTCGTCTGGAAGGACCCTTGCGCAGGTGACTGGGGGAGCTGAGCACGGGCACACTTTGGCCTCCCCTGTGGCCTTCGATGCCACAGAAATGTCCTCGTGAGAGGCAGAGACTGGAGTGGCGTGGCCACGAGCCAGGGCAGGCCACAGCCCAGCAGCTGGGGGGGCGGGGGGGCTCCCCGAGCCTGGACGGTGCGCAGCCCGCCGACACCTCACAGCCCAGCAGGGATGCTGGCATTTCGGGTTCAGAACTGGAGGAAGTAAACCTGCGGTGTTAAGCCAGCAAGGTGGCGGTAGTTTGTCCGCAGTGGCCACGGCCACGGCCACGGGAGAGTAACACTGGGCAGAAGAGAATGCAAACAGCAGGCCAGCGAAGCTGCGGAGGGACAGCGGAGGCCGCGGGAGAGCCAGGCGCTGGAGAAACTGGGGCAGGCGGAGAGGGGACTGGCCACCCCGGGTCTCGGGCCTGAGCAAAGGGGGCTGCTGGAGCTGGGCCCTTGGTGGCCTCCCTGGACCCCTTGTCTGCCTTCACCCCTTAGACCTCTCCCCCGCGGCCTCGCCCAGGCCTGAGCTCCTGCACCGAGGCATCGGGAGGCAAGAGCCTCGACTGTTCTGTGAGCTGAGGCCTGGCCTTCCCAGGGAGCCTCACGAGGAAGCCCGGGCCCCTCGGAGCTGGGAGCTGGGGTGCAGCAGTGCACCCCCGGGCAGGACGGCTGTGGCTCTCACAGCCCTTGACCTTCCTGTGCCCGCTGACAGGCACTGCCCCGCTTCCCCAACAGCCCAGGGGACGGTGCTGTTGCGCCTCCACCCATCATGGCGGCCTCCCTGAGGGGCCTCTAGGGGCATGAGGCACCCGCACTCTCCCTTCCCCAGGCCTCAGAACTTAGTGAGGACTTCTCAGTCCTGGCCCAATGCTGTCCCTCCGCCCCGGTCTCCCCGGCCCAGCCCCCAGGGCAGTGTGCCAGCTGCCGCCCTCCACCCGATCTCCCGGCCCAGCCCACAGGGCAGTGTGCCAGCTGCTGCCCTCCGCCCGGTCTCCCGGCCCAGCCCACAGGGCAGTGTGCCAGCTGCCGCCCTCCGCCCGGTCTCCCGGCCCAGCCCACCGGGCAGTGTGCCAGCTGCCGCCCTCCGCCCGATCTCCCGGCCCAGCCCACCGGGCAGTGTGCCAGCTGCCGCCCTAGAGCCCAGCTGGTCCTGCACTTCCCCTTGTCCTGCTGGTGAACAGAGGGCCCGGCCTGCTGACCTGCTGGGGAGCAGCGGTGGTTTATAGCTGAGCTGATAGAGAGGCTGCTGTCCCACCCACTGGCCAGTCAGCCAGGGGCTAGCTGGCCCCCACTCCCACTTGGAGGTGGTGAGGGCCAAGGCCTGAGGCTCAGCCTCCCTGACGCCCACCACCAGCACTCCCTGCAGGCACTCACCTTGTGAGCTTTTGCAGCTTGGATGTAGATTCTGGGACGAACATGGGGATGGTCCTTTTGTGCCTGAAACAGAAGTTTTGACACATGTGCTGAGGGACAGAGAAGCAACGCCAATGCCGGAGCCTCCAGCCAGCGGCCAGCGGCCAGCGGCGGGCAGCCGGGCAGCGCACGGACGCGGCGTGCCTGCTGTGGCACGAAGCCAGCCTTGCAGAGCTGTACCTCATGAGCCTTTTGTTCTTTGAAGGAGCCAGAAGGATGCTGAGGCTACAAACCTCAAACCGGTGCCCATGTGCCCCTTAGAGCCCTGTCCTCCAAATGTCCACATGCTCTGCCATCTTCAGGGCCCAGCGCGGTGCCCTTCCTCCAGGAAGCCCTGACCAACCCTGGACCTCGGCCCCGCCCTGGTGGCCTGCCCCAGGCCCGTCTCACCCTCAGAGCCCGGGGCCTGTCCCCCCCTCTCTCCTGGCCTCCGAGTCTGGCCCTTGTTTTAACAGAACTCAGAGCAGCGCACCCGGCGCCTCCTCTCAGCCTTCTCCAAGCAGCTGACCTCAGCCTGCTCTGTGCACCAGCCCAGTCCACACCCTCCCAGCAGTGCCTGGCAGGGCTGCGCCTCTCCATGGCCATGGCTCTAGGGGCTCCTGAGGGCAGAGCCCACGTGGCCACACGTGTCTGACACTTCCGTGTCCTCTGCTGCAGAGCACTGGGGGCGGGAGAGATGAAGGGCTGCGTGCACTCCAGACCCTACCTGCCCAGGCCCCTCGGAGTGGGCGCAGCCCTCAGGATGCCAGCACTCCCTCCACCCCGCGGTGTTCGGGCAGCATGAACCTCGCCCACTTAGGTCCCTTCCAGATATGGGCTCTGCCCCCCCCACCCAACCTGAGCTGCCCAGAACCCGGGGCAACAGCACATTCCTGGCCAAGAGGTGAAGTCTGTCCCAGGAAGAGCCCTGCTGATGATGCCAGTTCCTGAGCCAGAGCGGCCCAGTGAGGGACGGGCTGTGCCGGAGGGCCTACCTGCCAGGCGAGAAAGGCACGTGCACTGCCCCGTAGCCTCGGACCACGTCGTTCCCGAACACGTCTGGTCCGTACACGCTGAGCACAATCTGTGGCCCTGGGAGGACAAGGCAGGTCAGCGTGTGGGAGCCGTGGGGGAGGTGCAGGCAGAGGGGAGGAGGGTGCTCAAGCCCAGGGCAGAGGCCTGGCAGCAGGTGCAGACCTGGCACCCCTGCAGCACCAACAGTTCCTGCAGTCCAGGTCCAGGTCCAGGTGAGGAGGACCAGAACCTGCAGGGCAGGCCCCTGGCTTGGCCAACGCCAGAGTCAGAGCCAGGGTGCTGCCCTCCGCCTGTCATCAGACACATGGAAGTGGCTCTGGAGCCCTTTAGGGACGGGCCAGGCGGCTGGTTTCTGTCAGGGGGAGACGTCAGAGAGAAAGCAAAGGCCTTCCTGCACCTCCTATACACACTAGGAATTACACCCAGGCTGGTGGGGCTCAGTACCAAAAGGCTGCTGGTTCGATGCCCAGGTGGCGGGCTGGAACCCTGGTAGGGGCATGCAACATGCAGCTGATGGATGTTCACTCTCACATCAATGTTTCTCTCTCTTCCTCTTTCTAAAAATCAATACAAAATATTAGCAATTACACCTGTTCTGTTTACATCAAGGCATCTCGCCGTGGCCCCGATGATGGCAGCGGGGCTGACGCAGTGGGGGCTGACCTGGCGGCCGCTAGCACTAGTCGCAGGCAACTCCCGCCTCGGTGCTCCACCTCCTCGAGGCCTGGAGGGGGCCTGAGGCCGTGTCAGCCAGGGTGGGGCCTGTGTCTGCCCGTCACTAGCTCCAAAGGCCGCCACCGCCCAGCACTTCATGAAGCCACTTCTTTGCCAAAGATGCATCCCGCAGGCGGGCACTTTGGTCGTCCCCTTCTCTGAACTTCCTGTAAGTGAACCTTCGTACCCCGCTTCGCTAACCCAGCATGTTGGGGAGACGCGTTCTCATTGGAGGAGCTGGCACTTGTCCTGGGTCTTGGCCACGCGAGCCTGTGTCTCCTGCCCCTTTCCTACAGGACTGGCTTTCTCGCGGGTTTGGAACAGGTGTGAATTCTGCGCTCTCCTCACTTTCTTCTGACCAGAAGCTGCGGATGCCCGTCCCGAGGCCCCCGTCCCGCGGCCTGGCGCCAGCGCCCGTGCTGTCCTCCTGAAGGAAGCTGGCTCTTCCCATCGGCATCTGCAGACCCACGGGCATCGGTCTGTGTGTGTAACACAAAGTAGGGGTCTGCTTCCTCTGCCACCCCGTGCACATCCGCTCGTCCCAGCACCGCTTACCAAAGACTCTCACTCACTCACACACACACACACTCAACACACACACACACTCAACACACACACACACTCACACTCAACACACACTCACACGCACTCACACACACTCAACACACACACACTCAACACTCACACACACACACTCACACACACACACATATGCACACACAAAAGACTCTCCCTGCAGCTGGGCAGCGCCAGTCGGTCAGCTGCCTGCAGGCGCCGGTGCGGGCCGGCTCTGTGCTTGTCTGTCTGTCCTGTGCCAACGATGCTGCCGCAGTCACCGTGCTTTGCAATCAAAGCTTCACATCCGGGACAAGTTATATCTTGATATTTTACGTGTCTCACTTTTAAACTATCATTTTCTATTTACTTCTTATACAGAACAGAATATTTATGTATTCTATTTATTCTTACACAAAAAGCAACTGATTCTTTATTAATCCTATCAACAGCTTGCATGCCAGTGTATCGCCTGATAATTTATTTGTAGGTTACTTTGGACATTCTACATAATCACGTCACCCGTAGATAATTTTGTTCTTCCTCCCCGATTCTTACGCCCTTTATGAGCACAGTGTTGGTGATAACAAGCACCCTGACCTCAGGGCGATCCTCCGACAGTTCACGAGCAGTGATGTTCCTCTAAGTTTTCATAGACAGCCTTTATTGGAGTAAGGAAGCTTCGCTCTATTCCTACTTTGCTAAATATTTATCAAGAATGGATGTTGGGGAAAAAAAAAAAAAAAAAGAATGGATGTTGAGCCCAGCCAGTGAGACTCAGTGGTTGAGTGTCAACTCATGAACCAGGTCATGGCTTGCACCTGTCAGGGCACATACCCAGGCATCTCGTCATCGCTTGATCTCCAGTGGGGGCCGTGCAGGAGGCAGCTGATCAATGATTCTCTCTCATCATTGATGTCTCCATCTCTCTCTCCCTCTCCCTTCCTCTCTGAAATCAATAAAAAGAATGGATGTTGAAATTCATTACACTTTCTTCATTTATGGGGGTGATCATGACTTTCCAATGTGGTAGGTCACACTGGTTTATTTTAGATGCTAGGTGAGCTTTGTATTTCTAAAATAAACACTACTTGCTCATGTATTATCATCTTCTGTATTCTGCTAGATTCAGTTTGTAAATATTTTGGTCAAGTCTGGCATGGACAGGGGCTGGGCTGCAATCTGTGGGGCTGGCCCACCTTCGCTCCTTCCTCACTCCAGGGCACAGCTCTTTGAGGTCTTGGCCCACGCTGGGAGGGCTTACCTGAGGCCCCGCACCCCACCCCTTCTAGAGTTCTGCACACCGATTCTTGGGCCCTGAACCAGGGAGGCTGTCAAGTCTTGATACTCACCCTGGCCAACTTGCTCAGTGGTTAGTGTCAGCCTGCACACCAAAGTGTGTTGGGTTTGATTCCCGGTCAAGGGCATGTACCTGGGTTGCAGGTTCACCAATCGATGTGACTCTCATATAGTTGTTTCGATCCCCCCCCCCCCCCCCCCCCCCCGCACCTTTCAGTCACCTTGTTGGACTGGTTTTCTCCTAGATCCTGGCCTGGTAACACACTACTCTGCTTGCCACCTGATGCCTTCAAGGGGCTGTGTCGTCTTTTTGCCTTTTAGTGTTTGACTTGCCTCTCTGAGCTGTCCTCAGCCAGAGGACGTGGTCACTCTCTGGGCCCCGCTCGAGGAAGCCACGGAAGTTTCCTGCTCGTGAGGATGACGGCAGGAGGGCGGTTTCTGCCCAGGCGGCCGCCAGGCAGCCCTGCTCCAGACCCCCTGCCCCGGGAGCCCGGCCCGGCCCCTGCAGCAGGAGGCTGGGGCTGTGACGTCGAGTGGCCCTGAAGGTAAATCAGCTGCTGGGACGGCCGGAAGCCAGGGACGGCTTTTGAGTCAGTTTCCTAACCTGGGGAAAGCACGGAGAGTGATGTGCCCATGACAGGCCGGGCCCCCCACAGGGCCTCGCACACAGCAGGCGGGGGGGGGCCCGGAGGCCGCGGGGGCCCGCCCGCACTCCAGACCCCCAGCCTGGGCGCCGCTCTGCCCTTCAGCGCACCCAGTGGCCCGGGCTTCCGGCTGGGGCCTCCCCGACCCACTCTGAGCCTCGTGAGGTGAACTGGGTGGGAGGGGAGAACGCAGGGAAGCGGCCAGATGGCACGGTATCAGGCTGGCGCAAGGGCCCAGCTGATGGACGTGGTGGGCAGGAGGCTGAGGCTGAGACTGCCCTGGGGTGCCCGCCCCCCGCAGGGCCCCTGCGGACTCACAGCCGAAGGGGTTGGTGCTTTTGAAGGTGACGTCGATGGGGAAGTTCCACACCAGCGCTTGCCGCACGTCTGGGCTCTTCGATGCGATCTGGGAGATCCCCTCCTCCAGCCCCTGAGGACGGACACCGACCCTGTGTCCAGCGCCAGCAGCCATGCCTCCCCTCCCCTGGGCAGGCAGCTGGGAGGGCTGGTTTTTCACTATCTTCTGCCAAAGCACTAACTTCCAAACCAAGGGAACGCAGAGCCGCTGAGCCGGCACCGCCCTGGACGGGCACCTCAGGAGCCGCCTCTGCCTTCCCTCCAGCGGCAGCCTCTCCTCAGCACCAGCGGGCCCGCCCGCCCAGCGCCAAGCAGGTGCCTTCTTTTCTCCACACAAAACACCTGCTTGGCCACTTCCTCCCCAGCAGGCGGGCTCCCCTTCGGAGCAACCCGGAAAGGCTGTCCAGACCCCCGGGCTCCAGGCCTTTGTTTTTCTTTCCTGAACCCGCGCCAATCTGACTGCTGGTCCCCTCCCCCCAAGGGCTTTGTAAATACCAGTGACCTCGGCATCAGTGGTGACGTCTCCTCCTCATTTTATCTGGCCACTGTCAGCCTGATGCGGCCACGTCCTCCCCGGCCCCCACCTGCCTTCTGTCTCCCGCGGCCCCTGCTCCACTGCTCCTGCAGCCTCCTTCGTGCGGAAGCACCTCGAGGCTCCGTCTGGATGCTTCTCTCTGCACCTGGGTTCTCATCAGCCTGAGGCTTCATCCCCTCCAGCCTGGTCCTGCCTGAGCTCGGGATCGCATGCCCTGTCTCCGCCTGGGCGGCTGGTGGGAACCGTCACACACGCCAGGCCCAGCGCGGGAGAGATCTCCAGTCCGTTCTACCCACAGCCCCAGCGCCCCAGCTCCCAGTGTGGCGCTGCTCTTTCTTTAAACCCTCACCCGAGGGTACTGTTGCCACTGGTTTCCAGAGAGGAGGGAAGGAGGGAGGGAGAGAGAAGCATCAATTGGTTGCCTGTGCAGCGGGGGCTGGGGAACCGAGGTACATGCCCTTGACCAGGAATAGAACCGGCAACCCTTTGGTCTACAGGCAGACGCTCTAAGCACTGGGCCAAACCAGCCAGGGCAAGCGTGGTGTTCCTCTTAACTCCTCTTTTTCTCATGCCCACATCTGCCCAACAGGAAAACCTGTTGGCACTACCTTCAAAATATACTTGAAATGCAACCACCTCTCACCCCCTCCACCGCCTCACCTGTCCTCCCGCCCTCGCCCGTCCACCCGCCCTCGCCCGTCCACCCTGCCCTCGCCCGTCCACCTGCCCTCTCCCGTCCACCCTGCCCTCGCCCGTCCACCCTGCCCTCGCCCATCCACCCTGCCCTCGCCCGTCCACCCTGCCCGTCAACCCGCCCTCACCCGTCCTCCCTGGCCTCGCCCGTCCACCCGCCCTCGGCCGTCCACCCTGCCCTCGCCCGTCCACCCTGCCCTCACCCGTCCTCCCTGCCCTAGCCCGTCCTCCCTGCCCTCGCCCGTCCACCCTGCCCTCACCCGTCCTCCCTGCCCTCGCCCGTCCACCCGCCCTCAACCCACCTGCTTAGAGCTGATGGGTCCCTGCTTTGGCCCTGGTTCCCCACAGTCTACTCCCAGCAAAGAGTCCAAGTCTCTGTTAGGAACACAGGTCAGGGTCCCTTCTCTCTGCTCACAGCTCTCCGAGGGAGCCCTAGTGCCCCCGGGGAAGGTCAATGGTCCTTCTGCTGAACTACCATCTCCTCTAAGATCTCCCTGGGCCTGCTCGTCCCCAGCCCGCTCCCTGCTTACTGTCCACCCCCTCACGGCCTCCTCCCTGCTCCCACCCCACACCGCCTCCTCCCTGCTCCCACCCCACATCGCCTCCTCCCTGCTTACTGTCCACCCCACACCGCCTCCTCCCTGCTCCCACCCCACACCGCCTCCTCCCTGCTCCCCCCCACACCGCCTCCTCCCTGCTCCCACCCCACACCGCCTCCTCCCTGCTTACTGTCCACCCCACACCGCCTCCTCCCTGCTCCCACCCCACACCGCCTCCTCCCTGCTTACTGTCCACCCCACACCGCCTCCTCCCTGCTCCCACCCCACACCGCCTCCTCCCTGCTCCCCCCCCACACCGCCTCCTCCCTGCTCCCACCCCACACCGCCTCCTCCCTGCTTACTGTCCACCCCACACCGCCTCCTCCCTGCTCCCACCCCACACCGCCTCCTCCCTGCTTACTGTCCACCCCACACCGCCTTCTCCCTGCTCCCACCCCACACCGCCTCCTCCCTGCTCCACCCCACCGCCTCCTCCCTGCTCCCACCCCACACCGCCTCCTCCCTGCTTACTGTCCACCCCACACCGCCTCCTCCCTGCTTACTGTCCACCCCACACCGCCTTCTCCCTGCTCCCACCCCACAACGCCTGCTCCCTGCTCCCACCCCACAACGCCTGCTCCCTGCTCCCATCCCCCACACCGCCTCCTCCCTGCTTACTGTCCACCCCACAACGCCTGCTCCCTGCTCCCATCCCCCACACCGCCTCCTCCCTGCTTACTGTCCACCCCACAACGCCTCCTCCCTGCTCCCACCCCACATCGCCTCCTCCCTGCTTACTGTCCACCCCACACCGCCTTCTCCCTGCTCCCACCCCACACCGCCTCCTCCCTGCTTACTGTCCACCCCACACCGCCTTCTCCCTGCTCCCACCCCACATCGCCTCCTCCCTGCTTACTGTCCACCCCACACCGCCTCCTCCCTGCTTACTGTCCACCCCACACTGCCTTCTCCCTGCTCCCACCCCACATCGCCTCCTCCCTGCTTACTGTCCACCCCACACCGCCTTCTCCCTGCTCCCACCCCACATCGCCTCCTCCCTGCTTACTGTCCACCCCACACCGCCTCCTCCCTGCTTACTGTCCACCCCACAACGCCTCCTCCCTGCTCCCACCCCACATCGCCTCCTCCCTGCTTACTGTCCACCCCACACCGCCTTCTCCCTGCTCCCACCCCACACCGCCTCCTCCCTGCTTACTGTCCACCCCACACCGCCTCCTCCCTGCTCCCACCCCACATCGCCTCCTCCCTGCTTACTGTCCACCCCACACCGCCTTCTCCCTGCTCCCACCCCACAACGCCTGCTCCCTGCTCCCACCCCACAACGCCTGCTCCCTGCTCCCATCCCCCACACCGCCTCCTCCCTGTCCCCACGCACCAGGCACTCCTGCCCCAGGGCCCTTGCCCTGCTCCTTCTCCCTGGCACACTGTTGCCATAAATGACACATGGATTGTCCCCTCACTTCCTTCAGGTCTTTCCTGGAAAGTTCCCTTCTCAGCAAGGCCTCGATCTAGATTCGTCTCCCTACCCCCGCCCCCCAGCTCCCCTTCCTAACTTGGTTTTCTCCTCGGCACTCGACTTGCTAACATGCTAGACGGTCGCTACTCGCTGTCTGTCCCCCAGAATGTGCACCCAGGAGACGGGGACGGCCGCCCCGCACCAGGGCCTCACGGAGCCGCCAGTCAGCGGGCCCACGGAGCCAGTCCTGTCTCCTCGGCTCTGCGACGAGTAAGCGACCCGAGAGGTTAAGGACACTTGGCCTCCATTTCCTCAACTGCCGGGAGGGTCACAGGAGAGCTGCCATCAGCAGGCGGGGAGCGGCCGCGGGCCTGGCCTGGGGGAGACAGGCGGGCCCCTGGCAAGTCCCGCAGGGAGGGCTCCGGAGTCCGCACAGGCTGAGGAGGCCAGACCATGAAGGACCGGCCCAGGATGTCCACAGCTCAGGCCGGCATTCCGGCCGCCTGCACTGCCCAACACGTGCTGCCACGTGCCAGCTCCCGGGATCGGGCGTGGGCAGGCACGGCCGTGGGGAGGGCGGGAGCGGAACAGTGGTGTCTGCGGTCCCCACTCCAGCTTCACCAGGAACAGGCCCCTGTGGGACCCCCTCTGAACGGTGTCTGTCTTCCCAATGGTTCTGAACTGGGAGGGAAGGGGTGTGTGCGGCCTTCAGAACCTCCAGGTCCGAAGGCGTGAGGTGGGCCGGGGCCACTTACCGCGGTGGGGGCCCAGTCCTGGCCGTACACGAAGCAGTACTTGCAGTAGAGATCATCGTACTCGGGAAACTGCGGAAACACAGGCAGGGTGCTCGGGGAACGCACGCGGCAGCAATGTGCAGGCTACGCAGGCACAGCCCATGGCAATTCTGAGCTGGAGACACTGGCTGGGGCCGGAGCGACATGGGGCTCAGCGCGGCTGGGGCGTGGAGTCCGAGGGAGAGTCCCACCGCGACGCCCTGGGCCTCAGCTGGCTCTCCTGCGGACAGGCCTTCCCCAGCCCTGCACCCGGCAACTCCTGCTCATCCTTCCGCAGCCTGCAGGGAGGCAGCCCTAACTTCCCGGCCAGCTTGAGGGCCACCTCGGGCTCCTGTGGCCCCTGGTCTTCCCTCCACCAAAGCGCCTGCCTGTTCATTCCTGTGGACCCCATGGGGCTGTGAGCAAGGAGCAGGCTGATGGCTTTCTGCGGTCCCAGCGCCGACGGGGTGGGCACAGAGGAGCTGGAAGGAAACGGTGCCGGACGGCAAGGCCGGGGCCCCAGGGCTGTGAGGACCCAGCATGGGCACGGCCGCAGCTGAAGCCTGGGCGGGGGGGCGGCGAGCTGAGCGGTGCCTAGAGCGGGGCACATGGCCGAGCCCAGGGAGAGCCCCTCGGCAGCCCGCAAGGGAGGGTAGCCAAGCTCTGGCGCCACAAAGACCCGGCTCAAACCCCAGCTCTGCCTCTTCCTTTGGGCAAGTTTTCCCATCTGTCAACTGGGGGCTAGTGATACCTACTGCCCAGGGCCACTGTGAGGGCTGAATGAGCAGCGCTGTGCACGGAGCTGGGCACATGCAAACACCCGGGGAACTTTTAAGAAATTTATACGCACACACACGCACACACACGCACACACACACACACATATATAAACAAACGGTTCGTGTCATGTGGGGGAGGGGCAGGGAGTAGCGTCCCTTTGCGCCCGGCAGACCCGTCCTCCCTGGATCATTCCAAGACACCGCCCACGCAGGGTCAGTCATCACATCACCGCCATTCCCGCCCGGGTTCAGGGATCTGGGCGCTCAGGGCGCGCGGGGCGGGGCGGGGCGCGACGCCTCGGGCGCCATCCCCCGAGGACAAGGCCCAGGGCAGCTCCGCCGGGCCCACCCGCATGAAGCTCCTCAACGAAGCGCGCACGACCCGAGCCCGGGCCCGACCTGGCCGAGTGTGGCCTCGCTACGCGGTGCGGCTCTCCGTGTCTCCCACCCGCGCGTCAGGTTTGCGGGTGTCCGGCAACCGCGCGCCAAGCTTCCCAAACGCCGGCCCCGCCCCCGCCGAACTGAGGAATGATGAGCCTCTTCGGCGCGGGGGCGGCCCCGGGGCTCTTGGGGGGCGGGCCCGGTCGGGACCCTGGCCGCTCACCTGGGCGCTCTCCACCTGCCCGCTGACCATAAGCAGGAAGACGCTGGGGCCCGCAGCCGCCATCGCCGGGGGCGCGGGGAATACCACCCGGGTGGTGCGCGCACTTGCTAAGAGGCGCCCTAGTTGCCCTGGAAACAGACGGCGTGGCACGCGGGCATGCGTCTGAGGCGCGGGACCTTCTGCGCAGGCGCGTGGGCGTAAGCGTGGGCGTGGCGGCGGTGCGCAGGCGCAGGGGCGGCTCTCCTCGGGAATGCTGGGAGAGTCTGCGTGCGGCGGAGGGAGAAGGCGGCGTGGTGCGTCGTGGGGGAGTCCGCTCGGCCTCGGCCCGCGCGCCCCACGCCGTGGCGCGCCGACTGGGCAGGACTTCGGGGCCAAGCGGTGCAGCAGCCCCGGGCCACGAGGCGGCGCTGTGGCCACCGCGAGGCCGGGCGCGGGGCGGTCCAGCGCGAGCTGGTGCTGGAAGCTGGGCGCCGCCCGGCCTGAAGAGCAACCGGCAGCGCCCGTTGTGGCTTCTGAGACCTTCATCTCAAAAAGTTTATTATTATTGTTTAATGAGCTGCACGCTACTTTTCAAGAGGAGCACTCTGTCTTTGCTTTTTTAAATCCTCCCCTGAGTGTTACCAAACCCAAGGGGTTTGCTGCTTGGGGTGCTCTGTTCAAAAGCAAGACATAGTTGTCGCAAGGAGGTTCGCTCACTGGCAGCAAGTCAAGGAGACAGGATGCACCGCACAGCTCTGCTTACACACTGCTTGGTCAGTTACATGTTGCGTTCTTCCTTGCAGTTGACTATACGTATCAGGTTGGGTTCCTGTCCAGCTCATCCTGTTCCCAGCTGGGCTGCAAAATACTGTGCTGCATGTTAGCATTCAGCACGAACGGCATTTAATAAGAATGGCCAGGCTCTTATCCTGTCTAACACAGGGGTGAGCACTCCAGACAGCGCACAGGAAATGCGAAGGTCCTGAGGTGGCATATGCTTGGGGAGCCTGCAGCCTGCAGCCTGCTTGCCCGGGCTCACAGGACGCAACTTGCCTTCAGTGGGGTCATGGTGGTGGCGTGAAGTCAGCCATGGAGGAAATAGTTACACCATGAAAATCAGCAAATGCTAAAACCAGGGCTTTTGATTTTTTATATTTTATTTTTTATATTAATAAATCTTTATTGTTCAGATTAGTACAGTTGTTCCTCTTTACATAGCTCCCCTCCACCGGTTCCCACCCCACCCTCTGCCCTTACCTCCCCCCCCACTGTCCTCATCCATAGGTGTATGATTTTTGTCCAGTCTCTTCCCGCACCCCCATACCCCTTCCCCCCCGCCCCAGAGTAGTGAGTCCACTCCTTTCTATGCCCCTGATTCTATTATATTCACCAGTTTATTCTGTTCGTCAGATTTTTTATTCACTTGATTTTTAGATTCACTTGTTGATAGATGTGTATTTGTTGTTCATAATTTTTATCTTTACCTTTTTCTTCTTCCTCCTCTTCTTAAAGGATACCTTTCAACATTTCATATAACACTGGTTTGGTGGTGATGAACTCCTTGAGCTTCTTCTTGTCTGTGAAGCTCTTTATCTGACCTTCAATTCTGAATGATAGCTTTGCTAGGTAGTCTTGGTTGTAGGTTCTTGCTATTCATCACTTTGAATATTTCTTGCCACTCCCTTCTGGCCTGCAAAGTTTCTGTTGAGAAATCAGCTGACAATCGTATGGGTACTCCCTTATAGGTAACTGAGTTTCTTTCTCTTGCTGCTTTTAAGATTCTCTCTTTGTCTTTTGCTCTTGGCATTTTAATGATGATGTGTCTTGGTGTGGTCCTCTTTGTGTTCCTCTTGTTCGGGGTTCTCTGTGCTTCCTGGACTTGTAAGTCTATTTCTTTCACCAGGTAGGGAAAGTTTTCTGTCACCATTTCTTCAAATAGGTTTTCAATATCTTGCTCTCTCTCTCTTCTTCTGGCACCCCTATAATTCTGATGTTGGTATGCTTGAAGCTGTCCCAGAGGCTCCTTACACTATCTTCATATTTTTGGATTCTTTTTTCTTTTTGCTTTTCTGATTGGGTGTTTTTTGCTTCTTCGTATTTCAAATCTTTGACTTGATTCTTGGGATCCTCTCATCTGCTGTTGGAACTCTGTATAATATTCTTTATTTCAGTCATTGTATGCTTAATTTCTAATTGGTCCTTTTTCTTATCCTTGAGTATCTCACTAAATTTCTCGGAGGTTTCTAGAAGATTCTTGAGTAACTTTATAACCGAGGTTTTGAACTCTATATCCAGTAGTTTGCTTTCCTCCATTTCTTTCATCTGTGACATGTTTCTTTGTCTCCGCATTTTTGGCTGCTTCCCTGTGTTGATAGAGTGGCCTTGTGTTGTAGGTGTCCTATAGGGCCCAGTGGCTCAGCCTCCCCAATTACCTGGGGTGGACACTCTTGGTGCACCCCTTTGTGGGCTGTGTGCACAGTCTTGTTGTAGTTAAGCCTTGATTGCTGTTAGTATCACTGGGAGGAATTGACCACCAGGACAATTGGCTGTGAGGACCAGCTGTGTCTACAATGGGAGCACTTCTGTGCTGGAGATACCCTTATGGGGCAGGACTTGCTTCAGTGGGGTTTTGGTGCTCCCGGAGTCTGCCCCCTTGAGTGTGTCGCTTATGGATGTGAAGAGTTGTAATCTGGATGGTCTCACTCTGACCACTGGGTGCACTGGCTCTTGGATCTCCAAGGAGGTGCAAAGTCAGCCACTGCCTGAGGCCACCCAGCAGGAGCTACAGAGAGATCTGCAGATTCCTCCTCTTTGTTTGGGGTTTGGACGTGCCCAGATGAGGCCCAACTGTGAAGCAGTGCAGGCTGCTGTTGAGCCTTAGCCCTTCTTTTGGAAGCTTTGGCACTCTTTGATCCAGCTGCAGTTTGTTAGGCTTTAAATTGCAAAAGGCCAGGCCATTCATATGCAAAAGCCTCTGCTCACAGCTTGGGTGGGGTTGTAAATTGGGTGGGGCGGGGTCGCAGGGAATCATCAGGGCAGAGCAAACCACAGTGGCTGCCAGTCTGCTCTGCTTCGGAGAGGTCCCTGGGTCTCTGTGTCCTGCGGCCTGGTGCAGGAACAATGATTGCTGCAAGCACCTCTGCGAGAAAGCCGCCCTCACATTCCGGCCCGATGCCAGATAGTCCAGTTTCTCCCCGTATGAGTCTGGGTCCCCAGAGTCTTGCCCGGAACTGGAGTTTAGAGCAATTGGGAGCTTGTATCTCCCTCCCGATTGAAAAAGACAACAGCATACCCAGTTGCCAGCCCGTTTCCGTGTGCACGCCTCCATACCTCTGCACCTCCTACCAATTTCAAAGTGCTTTTCTCTTTCCTTCTAGTTGTAGAATTTCCACTCAGCCAGCTTTCCTGTGGTTCTGGATGATGTCTGTTTTGTCTTTTAGTTGTAGTTTTGATGTGGTTGTGCAAGTCAGCAAGTACAAATGTGTACCTATGCCGCCATCTTGGTTCCTCTCTATATTTTATTTTTTTAGATAGCCAATTTACCAGCAGAGCCATGGGGATAGGAGATGAGTTCAGAGAGCTCACCAAGCCCAGATCACCCAGGACCTCAGAGTGGCTAGAGCAGCCGTGGGCAAACTACGGCCCGCGGGCCGGATCCTGCCCGTTTGAAATGAATAAAACTAAAAAAAAAAAGACCGTACCCTTTTATGTGATGATGTTTACTTTGAATTTATATTAGTTCACACAAACACTACATCCATGCTTTTGTTCCAGCCCTCCAGTCCAGTTTAAGAACCCATTGTGGCCCTCGAGTCAAAAAGTTTGCCCACCCCTGGGCTAGAGGGTTTTGAAGCAAAACACTGAGGAGGGATTTAAAACAATTGGGTTTTAACAGGGTCTCTTTGGTCACCATGTGGGGCCAGGGGATAACTGGGAGGCCAGCGAGGAGGCAGAAGTAGTCATCCAGGTAGGGTTATCAGATACAGCAAATGTAAATACAGGTTGCATACAATATTCGGGATATACATAACCAAAAAAATTATGTTTATGTGAAATTCTATTGAAATGGGCATCCTGTATTTTATCTGTCAACTCTACCTGTAGAAGCCATGTAAGAGAGATGAGGTCCACACTGCTTCTGGAAGGCTTATTGCTTGATTATGTCTCCGCCCACCCCAGTCCTTGGGATGGAGCCTCCTTCATGGCCATTCCCTCCTCCTGGGATGTTTGGAGCAAGATCTGTACCAACCCCACCCCACAGCCCACACCCAACTGACCCTGGACCTGCACATACCCCTCAGCCATTTCCTATGCTTTCCAGCATATCTGAGAGAGGAAACAAAGCAGGGGTAGGTCACAGGTGAATGAAAGGGCTGATCTCACAGGAAACAAAACGAGCTGGAATTGCTGCCACACTCTGGACTCAGCTTCAGAGAAGATGGTCCCTTCACTGACTGTCCCCACCTCTGGGTCTGTTCCCAGACAACCCCTTGAATAGGAGGGGAGGGCTGTCCCCTTCTCAGCTCATCAATCTCGTAAAAAAGACTTTCAAATGAGTGACAGAAGCATTGAAGCAAAGCAAGCAAATTTTTAAAAAGTATTTTTTTATTGATTTCAGAGAGGGAGAGAGAGCTAGAAACATCAATGATGAGAGAGAATCATTGATTGGCTGCCTCCTGCATGCCCCCGTGGGGATCAAGCTCACAACCCGGAATCAAACCTGGAACCCTTTAGTCCACAGGCCAATGCTCTACCCACTAAGCCAAACCAGTTAGGGCAAAGCAAGCAAATTTATTAAGAATACACTTGGGAGAAGAACCAAGATTGCAGCAGTATGTAAACAAGGTACTCACTTCCTCCCACAACCACATTAAAATTACAATCAAAACACAACAACCATTATTCATAACCACCTGAAATTTGGCTGAATGGGAAGTCCTACAACTAGAGAAGTAAAGAAGAAAGCACATTGAGACTGGTAGGAGGGGTGGAGGCATGGAACAGGCTGTTCCAATACCCACATGTGGTGTTTTTTTAATCGGGAGGAATATCTTGGCTGAGGAGGTCTCCCATGAAGAGCAAGGGGCCCCAGCCCCACAACAGACCCCCCAGCCAAGGGTTCCAGAGCTGGGAAGAGAAGTCCCCATAACTTCAGGCTATAAAAACCATCAGGGAGAGTGGTTTAGTGACACAGATTTTACT